ATCTCCGTTTGCATTGAACTTTCAGCTTCGTAACGTTGCAGATATTGTTTATGCTCAAACAGCAACATTACACACTAACTAACGTTAAAAAAGTGAAATCGCAATGAACCACCCCTTTAAAACTGTTGCCGCGGGTTGTTTTTCATGTCCGCGGGTTGAAGCGACACCAATAACGCGATATTTAGCCCCTGATATGCTAATTTTACCCAGGAGCACTGCCAAAAAAAACTTGCATTTTACCCCCCGGAATGTGATTTTTAACGGGGACCCCCCTCGAAACGTGACTGAGCTAGTTTTGAGTAGCAATTGGCCGGGTTTTGTTGTGAAAGCCTGGCAACCCTGACGGCTTGATAGATGGTGCATCTAAGTTTTCTCTTTACGCTCTTCCAGGAACACTATTTGTCTGTAAGTGACTGAAAGATATTTTTTCATATTAAGAAAGTGTCATTGTTGCTTTCAGAAATGTATAATTTACCTGCCAGTAGTTTATGTTTTGTGTTTAGCTTTTTATTAGTGTATTTGTATATTGATATGTCTATTTTGTTCTGTATTTTCAGTTTTACAATATAAAAAGGGAATAAAGGAAATTTCAATTAAACCCAGGAAAAGTTACACCTTGAGTCATTATTGGAGTTTCATCCCTCATGTTAGCTGCAGAGCAACACATCCTGAGCACTGTATAAAAATAGTAAGCAGCACAACTGTTTTTAAAGGGATAGTTCACCCAAAAATGAAAATTCGGTCATCATTTACTCATCCTCATGTCGTTCCAAACCTGTATGAGTTGCTTTCTTATGTTGAACACAAAAGAAGATATTTTGAAGATTGCTGGTAATCAAACAGTTGGTGGTTGCCATTGACTTCCATAGTATGTTTTTTTCCTACTATGGAAGTCAATGGCAACCACCAACTGTTTGATTACCAGCAATCTTCAAAATATCTTCTATGTTCAACATAAGAAAGCAACTCATACAGGTTTGGAACGACATGAGGATGAGTAAATGATGACCGAATTTTCATTTTTGGGTGAACTATCCCTTTAACACTGAAGACTGGAGTAATGGCTGCTGAAAATTCAGCTTTGTCATCATAGGAAAGTTTTAAATTGTAATACTATTTCACAATATTACAGTTTTTTACTGTATTTTGGATGAAATAAATGAGCATATGAGACAACAAATGTGGATTGGATCAGATTTGTAAAAAAAAAAAAATTTCTAACTACAATCAGCTAAAAGATACACCAAAATAAAAACCATTTTTGGTGCGTGTCTGAAGAAACCTAAAGCCACACTTACACGAAACACAAACTCCAGCGGACTCCCCACATCACTGGTGCTGCTCATGGCAGATTCACCAATCACACTGCCACTGAACGTCGTGTCAATCACTTGTTTTTCTCTGAACATGACAGAAAAAAAAATGTAAATCACAGAATCAAAAAGATTTTTATCATCAGGACTGTTTTTGTTGTATGAGGGACATTCAAAAGTAAAATGTTTTGCTTCAAATTCGCATTTGATGAACTTTTGTGTTTTAACATGCACAGATGAATCATTTATTCATTGTAAATGTTCGCATTTTTTTCTTAATTTTAAAAAACATATCAAAGTACGTACAGGGAAAAGGTAGTGAGGACCGTGTTCTTCACGTCGAGAGTGACAGGAACAGGATCCAGATCCTTCTGCTCACTGATACTGAAGACAAACACAATACAAATCAGCTTAAAAGAAAAGGCCCGCAGAAATGCTTTAGCTCAACACTGTGCACTGAGGGAAACTGTATACTGTATAAACAAGAAACCATTTTAGTTAGTCCAGACTTACGTGGAGAGCTGAAGCTGAGATTCAATCTTCTTTGTGTAAAGTGTTACACCAGAAGTCTCAAAGATGATTATCAATGAGGTCTGTGGAGACGGAAATCAGGAGTCAGAGCAAATTAGCAAAACAGATCAGCTGTACAGTCTGATTAGCTGAGTTCATTCAAATGGCCCGTGGAAAATGAGTCATTGGAGATGCTTTTTTAATTAACACGCAAATCCTCAGAAAGGTCACATATTGGACTCGTTTTCAGTAAGAAAACAGACTGCTACCTTCTGATTGCTTTTAAATGGGTTTCCCAGATCGCATATCACAGTCTCGTCTGCGCTGCACTCAATATCTAAACCAGACTGTAATAAAGACAAACCAAGAAAGATGAGAACAGCATTGAGAACACTGAAATTATATAATTAGTAAGAGTTACTAGAGAGAGTCTCTAATAGAAAGTTTATTTCAGTTTTTAGTAAGTTTGGTAATATAATATAATATAATATTATTTAATTCAACTGGAAAATCAAACAGGAAATACAGGAGAATTGTATTGCTCAAATGTAGCTCTTTCATAGCTCAACCAAGAACAATTTTTTATTTGAGATATTACAGAGCTCTTCTTTGTGATTTTTCTTTTCTGAGGGATGTAGCCTGTGGAGGTGAGATGAAGAGTGAAAGAGTGCCTCCATGTGGACTCACCAAAGTGCGCACTCCTGAGTATTTGAGTGAGGGGGGAATGCTGATGCTCAGCATGGCCTGATGGGCGTCCTCGGCCTCCTGCCTGCCTCCATCCGGCATGTTAGTAACATCCACCATCATCACCAGCTTCTTAATGCTACTGTTGAACTCTATAGTCTGACTGTGAACAAACCAGCATATCCCATAATTCCCATGTGCATTTAAACGTTAGTTTTGAAGAAGACAGTAGCTTGTAAAATAAAATTAAAATAAATATATTTCTATCATGAGAACTCTCGGAGGATTTTAGCATGGTAATGGATATGACAATGTTAATGTATTTGGTCTTGGCGGAATAGATCTGCTACGCTGCTGCTGCTGTTGGTTATTGCTGTATTTGTAGCTCATTGCTGCTGCAGGCAAGTACAGGAACTTGCTACTGCCAATACATAAGCTGATATGGTGCTGTGAGTATTTAAGACATACTGCTGCTGCACAAATAGCATATAAAATAACCCGTAGCAGATCTATACAGGTGGAGCTGGGGAAGGTGGAGGGTTTCAGAGGAACTCTGAAAGCGTGCTGCAATGCTCAAGCGAATGCTAATCAGCCATTTAAATGTAAAGCAGCAAGCTCATTGGCTGTGTATGCGACGGGAACCAATCAGCTTGTGACAAGCTGTTTAGTGCTAAGAATATCATCAGTTACGTTAAGGACCCATATCCTGCGCCATCTAGAGTTTCATGACAGAACTTGATATTAAAACTTTTCTTTTTATATAAATAATTTTAATTTGATTCCAGGTGCTGCTTTCATGTCTGTCATATCTCTCTGTGGTGTGTTTCTTTTATCACGTAATTTCACAAAATAATTCAAGCACAAAATATAATAACTTAATTATTTTTTCCAATAAAAGTTTCCAATATGGAATCTGATGGTGCAAAAAAATCTAAATATTGAGAAAATCACCTTTAAAGTTGTCCAAATGAAGTTCTTAGCAATGCATATTACTAATTAAAATGAAGTTTTAATATATTTACAGTAGGAAATTTACAAAATATCTTCATGGAACATGATCTTTACTTAATATCCTAATGATTTTTGGCATAAAAGAAAAATCTATCATTTTGACCCATACAATGTTTTTTTGGCTATTGCTACAAATATACCCCAGCGACTTAAGACTGCTTTTGTGCTCCAGAGTCACATGTAATGTAATGTAATATAATAACATTTGGTAAGTGGCCAATAATTTACATAATAACAATATAATATAATTTGTAATAATTTAATATCTTTTATGACATTTTTTAAAAATATCTTTTTCAGGTTTTAGACTTCATTTATTACAACTATTTTAACTAAATAGTTTTTAAGTGGCCACAATATAGTAAACACTATATGAAGCATTAGATTTATGAAAAAGCCCACCGAAATTTAATGATAATAACTGAATTCACTCAAAAGACCTCTGAACTTAAATGTGAATAAATGCAGTTTGTGTACACATTTTCTTCCGTCCACATTCACTAGTTTTCCTGCAGCGTACTCACCTGGGGAAGGGAATGTAATTCTCATCAGCAAATTTGGCCTTGAGCTGCAGGTTACTGCTACACGTGTTGTCAACACCACACTCCTTATGAAAGTTAATCTGAGGACAAACACACCAAAAGCACTCTCAAGACTCACATCGACAGAAACCTTCAGGCAGAGGTTTCCCTTTGGTTTGTACCTCGGTTTTGTTGGTCAGGATCTGCTGGCCGCTCAGCACAGGGAAAGCGTCCAGACTCTGCAGTGTTTGCGGTGCTGCTGCTTTCTGCTCATTCAGAGACACGTTGAGAGTGAACACTATGGGCTGAAGTTTGTCCCTCACAGGAGTCTAGAGAGGGAAGAGAGAGAGAGAGAGAAAAAACGTCCTAAAACAATCCTATTGCTTCTTTGCATTCACTAAAGACAGATTACTGGATCAGAATGGCATACTTATCCTATGCAAATGTTCTACACACATTAAAGAAGTTATTATATATGCATTATATATGTTGGTTATATATCCTGTCGAACTCATCAACAACAAACAAACAGAATAAATAAATAAATTAAATCAAATGAGTTGCCAATACTTTATTTCGCAATAATGACTGGCTAACTGTACATTAAAGTATACTATACTATACTATACTATAATATAAAAGAAAATATTTTTGTATGTTGCAAATACTTTATTTTGCGATAATAACATATAACATATAATAACAATAACATATAAAACACTTGCAATTCCTGTATTACTATTATATCATTTGTATTATTACAAATGCAATGTCCTCACTAATATAGTGAAACAAATGTGTGTGTGTGTGTGATCAGGTGGTCTCTCACATTAACAGAAAGTTCCAGCTCTTGACATGCGGGAGCGGAGAAAGACAGCAGGCCTGTAAATGTGCTTTGCTTGTTGTCAAGGAAACGAACTCGGGCGCCACGGCGATTCGGGTCAGCGTCTACTGTGTACTTCACAGCTGATGCAGAGAGAAACAAACACACGGTTAGTCCAATAAAACACAGACCAAACACTCCTGAAGCAGGCGCTCCACTTACTGATGTCCTTCTTGAAGGCTGTGTTTCCAGTGCTGAGATTGTAGCTGAAACACACCTTCACCTTTATGCTACAAAAAAAAATCACATTTAATTAATTCTTTTAAAAAGTACTACAGGACAAGTATAATATGATACATTTATGACTAAATTATATTGAAAATCAAATGCTTAAAATATTTGTTTGAACAGAAACATGTCCTCTTACCAGGAATTAACACACTGGTTTGGACTCACAATCTTTGGCTCTACTGTAAAGTTTTGGGAGAGGTGGATGACCGGACGAGCCCTGAAAAAACACCCATCAAACATCACTGGTTTGGAGGTTAGCTTGCAGAACAGATTGATTGATTTAAATGCCGGTGACCAGCAGGGGGCCCTACAAGCATGCAGGGACCACATATTTGTTAGGTGTTGATGCTGGTTACAGAAAGTACGTCTGCTGGTTGCTTGTTGCTGCTTGCTAGCTGTTATTATTATAAATCATCCATTAAAAACCAATCAATCAATCAAATAACTATATAAAATACAATATGCACATACATTTATCATTAGATGTATTTTTTATTTATTTGCAAATATAAATTATATAAAAAATAATATACAAATTAATAAACAACAACAACAATAATACATTTTGTAGAGAGATTCTTACATAGGCGCAATTTATATCTATAATAATATTAATAATAATAACAACACATATTCACTAGTTCAACTAGTTAATAGTAAGAATTAATGTACTAATTATTTTAATTATTATTATTATCAATGTATTTATTTTTAATTTATTTGTAAATAAATAAATCTAAATTATAGAAAATAAAATATGTAACAAATAAATATTATAATAGTAATAGTTATAGTAATAATACATTTATTTTTTATTTATTTGCGAATACAAATAAATAGAAATGAAATCAAATATACTAAATTAATAAATAAAATGTATAATAATAATAATTATAATAAAATGTAATTTTGTAGAGAAATTTTTGGCCACAAAAATGTGCACAAAGGCACAATTTATATTTGTCTATAAAGCAAGATTCAAGCACTAAAAAGATTTTTCAGATCACGAGAAACATACATTCACTCAAGTGTCTCCACACTTTTGATTGGAAGTGTATGTGTGTATATAAAATCTGTATTTGTATATTTATGTGGCTTCTGTGTTTGGAAAAAGAATCGTTGAAAATCCCTCTGAATAACATGAGCATCTATAAATGGCAAACACTGCTGAAAGACTGAACCTCAAGAGAGCGATGCGGTCATCCATGGAGCCCACCAAAATGTCAGGATAATCATTTCCATCCATATCCAGTCCTCCACTGAGAGAGTAGCCGAACGTCTGAAAGTCACTGGGACCTAATGATTTCCCCTCGATCACCTAAGAGAAAGTCACATTACCCATTCAATCACCCTCTTCTTATTCTCAAGGTCCAGATATGGTTGATTTATGTATGATCACGCACTTATCAATGACATGCAACAGTAGGTAATTGTAGAAATGTCACCCACAAATCTTAAATATATATTTCCAAAAGTGTTCCATATAAATCCCAAGATGCTTGCTTTACCTGGCTGGGTTCCGTAGTTATTCCATTTTTGCTTCCCATCCATATAAAGACTTTCCCAGAGTCTTGGAACGGAGCACCAACAGCTAAATCTGAAGACACAAACACCAGAGCAACATGATTAACCCTCCATGGCCTCCAGATGGCAGCATTATAACACGAATTACATAATACACTACCATTCAAAAGTTTTTATGCTCATCAAGGCTGCATTTATTTCATCAGAACTACAGTAAAAACAGTAATATTCTGAAATATTATTACAATTTAAAATAACTGTTTTCTATGTGAATATGTGTTAGAGTGTAATTTATTCCTGTGATGTAAAGCGGAATTTTCAGCATCATTCCTCCAGTCTTCAGTGTCACATGATCCTTCAGAAATCATTCTAATATACTGATTTACTGCTCAGGAAACATTTCTTATTGTTATTCATGTTGAAAACAGTTGTGCTGCTTCATATTTTTGTGGAAATCATGATTTTTTTTTCTTTGATAAGCAAGAAGTTAAAAAGAACAGCCCTTATTTAAAAAAGAAATATTTTATATATATTTTATATATCTTATATATCTTTTCTGTCACTTTAATCAATCAATAATGAATTTAATGCATCCTTGCTGAATAAAAGCACTAATTAATTTATTTTTTTCTAATCTAAACTGAAATCTACGATCTAAATTTAAAAATCTAAAAATCTTATTGACTCTAAAATTTAGAATAGTAGTGTATTTTTGTATTTATTTATGTATAATGAATTTAATATATTTATATATATATATATATATTATATTTAATATATTATAATATATTTATTT